CCCGCGCCGTCCCTGTCCAGGCCCAGGCCGGCGCCAGCGCCCACGCGGGAGCTCGGCCAGCACGGGAAGCCCAGGGGCAAAGGACGAGGCTGCACGCGGAGCACGGGCCGCGGTCCCGACGAGCCGCGGCCGGTCACCGTGGACAGCTCCAAGGCTAGGACCTCGCTGGAAGCCCTGAAGATCAGCATCCGCCAGCTCAAGTGGAAGGAGGTGAGGCCCGGCCCCGCCGCGGGGCGCAGGGGGGTGGACAGAACAACCAGGTCGGCGGGCCGGGGCTGCTGCAGACTGCTCATCAAGGCCTAGCCCCAGAATCACTTCTAGGTCAAGTTAGCCTCCCGTAGCTGCGCTACAGTTCTGTGCGTTTCAGCCGCCGGCACTGGCTTCTCATAATGTAGAATCTGCAGCATGCAGACCGCTTTATACGTCTGTCTGTCTTCTCTACCAGCTTTGAGTCCCCGGAGCCAGAATCGCTCTCCTTCACCTCTTTATTTAAGTTACATTTGTTTAGCATTTACTGCGTGGTTCTTGGGAAGGATAACAGTTCGTACTTGGGAGGCAGGCAGACCAAGGGTCTCATTCTGCCCTGCTGTTGAACTGCAAAACTTTGAGTAAGTTGCTTTTCTCTTTAGCCCATTAGCCTCTCTGAAAGTGAGGTCAGCTACATCTGTCTCACTGCTTTGTCAGTATTAAAAAACCTACTGCCGAGTGTTGTATAGTGCAAATAGTCAATAAATGATAACTTTTTTTTTTTTTTTTTTGGTTTTACTACACTCTTTCTCTTCCTCCACCACCACCTTCATCATTATCATCAGCTCAGGCACTGTGTTTTATGATTCAGGGGTGGACATATAGCAAGTGCCAATAAATGGTGCATGGCAGGACAAATAAAGAGATGAGTTACTCATCCTTGAACCATTTAAAACCGTTTGGGGTCTGGAGTGAAGCGCTCATGACTTCCAGAGGTTTGTGTTGCAGTGGGCTAAGTGGTAAAGCTGTTTGACTCTGGCATCTGAGGCTGTTTAATGTACTTTGGGGAGTGTCAAGATTCCATTTTATGGTCGTCTGTGCTGGAGACCCAGAGGTTTGGCTGAGGTTAATAGGGATTAAAGCAGGCAACACGAGGACTCAGCCCTGTGCCTTGGCTGTGGTAGATGTTAACAGTTTTACAAAGTTGGAACCTGCAGAGAGATGGCCCTAGAAAGGACTGATATTAATGTCCCGGTAGGAAAGAGTCATTTGGTTTGGAAGGAAATCGAGAATCAGGCTGGGGGAACTTCTAGATGGGTAAGGGTTAGCTGGTGGGGAAGTCTGATTGCAGGTATCAGGACCCTCAACCTCAGGGTGTGAGATTTAGGGGAGGACTTTAATGCCTAGGGAATCTGGGGGTTGGGGAGCAAGGGAAGGCTCCTAGTTCTAGAGTTTCTGGGTTTCTAGACAAGGTCTCAGGCCCAGAGATATGAGGCCAGAAAGGTGAAACTGAACTGGCCAGTGGCAAGGTTCTAGTGAGAATCCAGGCACAGAAACCTGGCCACAGGAGTCAGGCCAGGCAGATTGACCACAGGACGATCTGCTCTTAACTTGGCCCCTGTTGAACTGCTCATCCAACTCTGTCCAGGGTGAACAGGTCCCCCGAACTAGGTGCCCACAGATGTATCAGAAAAGTAAGAAAAAAACAAAAACAAAAAAACCCAAAACCCGGGAACAAGGCCCAACAACCCCCAAGAACGAACCCCGAATAACAACCTCCAGAAACCTTTAATCAAAAACAAAAAAGGAAGCAACAAAAGAAACAAAAGAAAACAAACGGTTTTAGCAAGGACAATACAACTCAGTTATCATAGGAATGCGACCTGACCAGTAAGCCATCATGTTATCTTCCTTCGTGCATATCTCAGCAAAGCACCTGGTATTGACCCGGGGTCTTACAATGCTTATGCTAGACTTCCTCCAGAACCCAACAATCATGGCTTGGTCAGGCCTCAGGCGATACACAAAAGAGTAGCTAAGGAATGTCCTTCTCCACAAGGCCTGTGAAAGACAAGATACAAGAGGTGGGCTAAATCTTGTTCATTAGGCCAGATGGGCTCAGCCAACCCAGCCCAGATTCCTTTATTCACTCTGTAAATGTCCACCGTGGTGGTGCCAAGATTTCTACCAGGCCCTGGGAATCACACTTAAATTGTAACTCTTGCCTTGAAGGACCTTGTAGTTCACTAGAGAATAAAACACAAAGAAATAATTGCAGTCATCACAGGGCCAATACTGCTGCTTCTAGAAATACTGGTCTTCCAGTTACTTGCACTGCATACTCCTCTGTCATGTCTTCAGATCTCCGATCAAACGCCACCTCCCTGCAGAGGCCTTCTGAGATGATGCCCCGCTAGTCTCCAGCCCTTACTCTTGTTCATTTTTGTATAGCACTAAACTACCTGACATTATATTATGTATTTGTTTATTGTCTCTTCCCCTTACCAGAATGTAAGCTCCTTGAGGGCAGGGGCTTTGTTTTGTTTACTGCTGTATTTGAAAGTGCTTGGCATGTGGAAGTCGCTCAATAAATATTTGTTGGATGGATGAATACATTTTATGTGATGAGTGTTTCTCTTTCCATATGTGAAGGTGTTGGTGCTGTGGGAGGCTTGGAGGCACTTCCGGAAGGGCTTTTTGGACGAGGTAAACTCCAGTTGAGTCCTGAATGCGAAAAACAGGCTGGAGTTATTTAGAGGCCATGGACTTTGGGTCCCTGGTAGAAGGAGCGGCGTGGGCAAAGCGGAGGTACATGCAGGGCTTTGCATGAAGGTCAGTCTGGCTGGATAGCAGAGTGGGAGGTAGGATGATAAGAGATGAGGCTGCAGGAGTAAATGGATCAGATTATGTGCCACTCTATGGGATTTGGACTTTTTCTTGGAAAAGAGCCTGTGTGAGCATTGCAGAATTTTAAGGGTCTTCCATCTATAGCTGTACTACTTTGAGCAAGACAGCTAAACAGAATGCTTCTGGGCTTAGCTTATCCATACAGTGAGGGTGAGTAGAACTAGTTCATTGGTTTCCGGTCTTTTTAGTGGTACAGCCATGTAATGGCAGTGATAACCTACATGAGACCCTTGCACCAGTGAGCCCAGTGGGATGGGCAGTTTTCAGGGTCCAACGTGTGACTGCCTCCACAACCCCTGGTCTGCCACATTCTCCACTCTGAAAGCATATTCATGTGTGTTTGGAGATGCTCATTCTGGGATATTTGAACATAATTCACTCATAGCAGTAAGACTTTCCTGTTAGGTGTGTGGTTATTTACTTAACATCACTCTGCCCCATTAGTCTGTGCAGTCCAGAAGGTAGGGGTGGTGCCTGACATGCCCAGCATATTATATAGGTGCTCAACATTCATCAAATAAGTGACGGAATACTTGCAACAGAGCTTGTGGGTCACCCTGCTGCTGTAGAGTATGGAGTCTGAAAAGTACTCAACTAAACTTTAAAGTTCCTTCCTATTTTAGGCTATTATAATATTCTAAAAAATTAATTTCATGATAAGTAACATATGTATGAAACTGGTACTAGAAGAAGTGTAAACACACAATCTCGCTAGGGATTACTTTCCCTGATTTGTTATGGGAGTGATGTTGGATAAGATCACCTCTAACTTCTAGCACTGATGTTCTTGGAGCAAGAACTTTTACTAGGGAGTGGAGCCAAAGGTACTGAGCAAGAGCGAGTCCTCAGTTTCTCCATGTGTTATGACGGCCATGTTGGACAAGATCGTCTCTAACTTGGAGCAAGATCTTCCACTTGGGGCTGGGACAAAAGGCACTGAGCAGTAGTGTCTTGCATGTCGGGTTGTGCTGCTGCTGTGGATTTTGCCAGTCCTGGCTGGCTGGATTTTTTTCTTTTGTGCTGGGAGTTGAACTTGTGACCTCACGCTTGCCAGGCAGGCATGGCAGGCTAGCTTTGACAGAGGTGGGTAGGTAGTCCAGGTAGGAAATAAAGTCGCAAACACCAACCAGAGGCAAGCTCCATCTCCTTTTATGGGTACATAGCGAGACTATACAACATGGTCCATTTTTAATGAGGACTCTAAGCCAGCCCACAAATTCAGAAGTTTGTTTGGCTACTGAGTATACAGTCTCCCTCTTTTTTCACTTTTTTAAGTTTCACATATTTAACCAATAGGATAACTACAGTTGTGAACCCTTCATAATTCTTACCCTGTATCAGGTGTGTTTTTCAGCACTTTATACATACATAATTTATTTTTGATTCTCCAGACAACCCAATAAAATGCCTTATTATGCCCATTTCACAGATGAGAAAATTGAAGTACACAGATCTTATTCAAGGTCATCCAGCTAGTGAGGGCCAGAGCCAGCCTTTGAAGTAGGGAATCCGTATTGGACCAGTCTTCAGTTCTGTGCTCTTCCCATCGTTCCCCGCTGACTCTGTGGGCAGAGCCCAGGCGAGGGGCTGCAGCTAGAGATAGGAACAGGATGCATTCCCTGCTCCCCAAGGGCTCCCGGGGTAGAGGGACAGACCTGCAAATGGAAAATTACAGTCTTGTCTGGGAGCTTAGTGGGCAAAGGCATTCCATACGGAGCAGGAACAAAGACAGGGCGTGTGGGCCAGGTTCTAGCAGGTTTGGGATGCTGGCAGCTGAGGGAGCATGCGGAGGTTGAGAGAATAAAAGAAGGAGCCAGGTCATAGAGTATGTTGAATGCCATGCCAAGCAGCTTGCGCTGCTTCCTGTGTTTGCTCACAGATTGCTTGCCATATATAGACCCAGCTTTCCTTACCTAGTCTCCTTCTGTCTCCCGCCAACTCTCTGACAATTTAGTTTTCGGTCCTATCCATTCTAGGCAGGTCTAATTCAACAGTATCTATGATATCAAGTCTGTTTCCCAAAGGGAGAATTAGCAGATGGTAGCTCTGTAAACTTGTAGATAAGAATACAGTTATTCTCCAGTAGCAAAGTCATGTGTACAAAGTCACTGCTAGAGTTGCAGCAATAAAGGGGATGTTTCCTGGTTCAGAGTAGAGGCTCCATATTTGTGCAGTTGGATGGCCCTCTTCTAGTCATGTGGATTTCTCTCCCCAGCCCCTGCATATTCTCTTGCAATTTTTGCTACCCTCATTAGAGAAAACCTCGGAGAAAAGACACCATGGAGAATAGATGCCACTATTGTTGTGAGCCGCCCTCCTTGGAGATGTAGGTTGTG